TCCATGTGACCGTTTATGAGTTTAAAATATAATTCAAAATGGAGAAAGTAAGGAGCGGTAATGGAAGTGCAGCGTTCAAATAGTAGATTATTTTGGAAAACCGCCTGTCGACTGTCTTCACACAGCGAAGATCCTCGTCACTGCGACAGATCCTATTAACCTCGTTGTCTATCTTTGTTTTGGTTTCTGACTCTAACTCAAGAACTGTATCGTTTGGAAATGCACCGTGAAAGCCCGTCTCTATAAAGTTTTGTTCGCATCGTGTATGTTCAAGGCATTAACAAAAAGAATAGTCGATTCTTCTCGATTTCTTTTCTCTCCTTCTGTACTTTTTGACGCAAGCACTTTTTGCTCCTCACAACAAAATGTTAAATTTTAACTTTGCGTAAGATATTTGACTACGAGGTGACAGATTACAAATAAAAAGTTTGACGCGAAAAAACACATGTGTCATATTGTTTCGTCCTGCTGCATCGAAGTTCGTTCGTCTTAGTATAAGATTTTGATGCGAGATAAAAATGTGCTCAAAGTGGTAAGCTTCATACCCCAGATACATACATAAATAATCAGGACTCTTTATTAAGACTCAATCAAAGCCCTCAGTGGCCAGTATCCTTCTGTATTAATGTAGCTAATGTAATTTCTAAAAATTTAAGTGTGAGCTTTTTTAGGGCTCCTAATCTAGCCTAAATTAACTTAGTACATCTATGTACGTACTCAACTTTCTTTAACTCGGTACGAGAATACTTGCGACAGTTCAAGAAGCGTTCCGAAAAATAAGTTAGGTACTTGACGATGGACTTATACAATATTAATTATAACCCGTTGTAGTTCTTGTTTCGATAATGTAGATAAAGTTGCTCTGGACCTAAGAACTCTGGCCGGAATGGCATCTTCAAATTATAATTTCTCCAATAAAATTTCCATTTGAGCGAAAATAATACTCTATACCGAAAATCCTCTCATTTTAACCAATCTCCTACGAGCAGCTTCTTGCGAGGAAAAGGATGCGTTCAAAATTTCAGATTGATATCTCACAAACTAAAGAACAAGTTTGTTTACCGACGTTTCCTGCTAGTTGTTGCAAACTTCCAGGCCCTATTCGGGTTATAAAAATCGCATTTTTAGCTCAAGTCTTACTTGTCTTAATGCACAAGACATTCCGATGCAAAACTTATATAATATTGCCATATACAGTTAACATTAATTTTACAAAACCTAATCACTCAATAGCGCTGAGTGGGTTAATGTGAAAAATTGCAAAGTTTGCCACTCTTTTAGATACACAAAATTCATTCAACCACAAAGAAACGCACAACCCCAATTTATATCGGTGATTTTTCATTATTCCTGCGCACACGTACAAATGCAAAAACAAATACGAATACGTCAATTAATGCAAGCGAGAGCAATTAAGCTGCACTAAACGCACACACAAGTGCGCATAGAAGCGAAATAGAGCCAAAGCAGCGACACACTGCACGAAATATACTTAAATTTAAATTCAAAGCGTAAACTTTGACGCGCGCCATCTAGCGGCCAGCCAGACGGCTTGAGTGGTATTGTAGTGGAAAACGAACAAAGCGAGCGCGCAACGGGACATAAATAAACGGTAAACAAAACAAACTCAAACTACAAGCGCTCAACGCTCAATGACAGTGAGTTAGTAAGTGAGTGAGTGAGAGGTTGCGCGGCGCAAGAGTGAGACAACAAGTGTGGGCGCAAATGTCTGGAGCAAAACAAAAAGTGACAGAACATGGAAAGGTGCGTAAAAATAAGCGCGCGTTTGTGGGCATGTGTGTGTGAAAGTTGAGCGCAAAGAGACAGCGTTAAAAATAGCAAAAAGCGTTAAGTGGCAAGAGAATGTCGATGGAAAGAGGAAATGCACAAACAACCGACAGGCTGTCAGTTTATATGAATGAATGCGAGTGCGTATGTGTGTTTGCGTGTTTTAGCAGCGATGATATACGTTCTCTGGTTTTAGTGGGTTTGGCAGCGTATTTGCTTAGCTGTATGTGTGTCAAATGGCATAACGCGTTGTTTGCTGTTCGGCTGTGTGCAAAGGAATTGCATTGAAAAATTGTTATAGATACATTTTGTGAGCTAGCGTTTAAGTATATTAAAAATTAAGAGAATGTAGCAAGGGTGTGTGGGCTAAGCAGTGCGCCCAACACACACGCACACATAACTGTCACCGTTGTGGCGCTGCGTTTGCTGGCGCTTCCGGCCGCCATATGTGTGCCTACTACTTATATTTATGGGAGTCGTGGACTAAATTAAATAAATATGTGCTTATAAAAGCGAAATTAAGGCAAGAGTAAGTTGAGCAGTTGTCAGTAAAGGCGGAAAAAAATCGTTAGACAGTCGACAGACAGTGGGCAGTGTGAGCGTGAGTGTACTTGTACACATACTTATATATGTATATGTATGTATGTACTTATGTACATCAGGGTTGTGAATTTTTGTTTGATAAAAATTTTGAATTAAAAATTGAAAACTTAATTATTTAATCCGAAAATCGATTTCAAAATTTGTAAATTTAAGGAAAATTTGAACACTTGTCAATTTCAAAAGAACCAATTTGTTTGTATATATCGCATCTATATAGTATATTTAAAAATAGCAGCATTTTTTCGCAAACGCCAAAAAATTTCAAACTCAAAAACCAAATTTTTTAACTTTTAATTTATATACTTGGGATCAACATTTTTTTTCAATCCGATATTTGAAATTAAAATTTTAATTTTTACTTTTAATGAATTTTTAAAAAATTAGTTTTTAGTTTTTTCAAGTCGATATTTGGTGTGAGAAATTTGAAAATTATTTTGAACTAAGAGTTTTGAGAATAAAAATTTATTTCAAATTTTTTAAAGCGGTATTTGGGTTCAGAAAGTTCAATATTATTAATTAAGCTTTCCAAAACTATAATTTTTTTTAATTTTTCACTGCTGTATTTAGGATTAAAAGTTCGAAAACTATTTTAATTAATGATTTGTTGAGATTAAACACTTATTTTTAACTTTTCAATCCGGCATTTGGGTTTAAAAATTTGTAAATTATTTTTAATTAATGTTTTTGGAATTAAAAATTAGTTTTTAATTTTTTCAAGCCGGGTTAGAAATTTGAAAATTATTTTAAATTAAGATTTTTGAGATAAAAAAATTAATTTTTTCAATCCGGTATTTGGGGTTAGAAATTTGAAAATTATTTTTAATTATGGTTTTTGGAATTAAAAATATATTTTTAATTTTTTGTAGCCGGTATTTGGGGTTACAAATTTTAAAATTATTTTTAATTAAGGTTTTTGGAATAAAAAAATTATTTTAAATTTTTTCAAGCCGGGTTAGAAATTTGAAAATTATTTTGAATTAAGATTTTTGAGATACAAAAATTTATTTTTTCAAGCCGGTATTTGGGTTTAAAAATTTGAAAACTATTTTTATTTAAGGTTTTTGGAATTAAAAATATATTTTTAATTTTTTGTAGCCGGTATTCGCGGTTACAAATTTTAAAATTATTTTTAATTAGATTTTCATGATTATAAATCTTATTTTTATTTTTTTAATCCGGTATTTTGGTTTAAAAATTGGTAAATTATTTTAAATTAAGGTTTTTGGAATTAAAAATTTATTTCCAAGTTCTACCGGTATTTGGAATCAGATTTTTCAAAGTTATTTTTAATTTAGTTTTAAAATTTATTTATTTTTATTTTTTCAAAGCGGTTTTTGAGTTCAGCAATTTCAAAAATATTTTCAATTAAGATTAGATCTTTTTCCAAAAAAAAGATCCGGATTAAAAATTTGAAAATTATTTTTAATTAGTATTTAAAATTAATAATTGAAAAAATTTTTTAATTCAAAATTACCTTAAAAATTAAAAAAAAATTACAAGTAAAAATTCAATCATAATTTTTAATTTTCAAACCAAATTAGAAATTTGAAAATCATTTAAAATTAAAATTTAAAATTAAAAAAATGTATAATAAAAAATTAGTTTATTAATTTAAAATTATTTAATTTTTTTATGTAATTTATTATTTTTAATTTTTAATTTTCATGCCGTATCAGAAATTTGAAAATTATTTTTAATTAGGATTTAAAATTATAAATTGAAAATATATAAAATTAAAACTTAATTAAAAAAATCAAAAAAAAAAAAATTAAAAATTCAATTTTCATTATTGTTTTTAATTTTCAATATAAATTAGAACTTTGAAAACCATTTTAAATTAAGATTCAAAATTTAAAATATATATATTTTTTTCAATTAATTTATTATTTTAAATTTTTAATTTTCAAGCCGCATCCGAAATTTTAAAATTATTTTAACTAATATTTCCGGGTTTACAAAATAAAAAAAATCAATTTTAATATAAAAGTTAATGCACTTGTCTTTTTAATGCTTTGTTTACAACCCTAATGAACATAAAGGTTTGTTGTGCCGTTACTCAGCGCAAAGGCCCTGTTATAGTAGTATTGGTATGTTTGTGCTTTTTGTTTGTATAAATATATGTATGTTTGTATTTTTGTATGTATGTATGTTGGTTTGTTTGTATGTGTGTTGGCTTGTATGTATGCATGTTTGTGTGTGGCTATTTAGTGGCAAAAATCCATAGAAATGCTGTCGAGTGTGAGCTATATGCACAGCATAACTGCGCAGCGTTTAGTCGGCTGGCTAGTCAATTTGACGACGATTCAATATTGCAGCCATAGTTAGTCCAGAGCAGTGAAGTTTTTCATTGGCGAAAAATCAATAAAAATGTTTGTATCATTTGATTTTAAAATTTTTGTCGGATTAAGACACGGACATACATACATATATATGTATATACGTATAACTGTATATAGTGCATATACATACCAACATACAGCTATATATTATATAATTTATATAAAATTTTTATGTATATACTTTTTAATGACTGCCAGTCGCTTTAAATTTTCATTTTTGTATCAATTACTCAAATTAAAATTAATTAAAATTAAATTTTCGCTACTCACCAACATCGCCAAAGACATTTTCGCTGCTGTCGTCCTTGCCACGCGCCTGCAAAATTTTACACACTCTCTATTTATGATCGCAATGCGCTTGCTGCTGAATTCGTAAGCACTTCAAAAATTGATTACAAGCAGCTTTTTTAAATAACTAAAAAATTCAACACAAAAAAAAAACACAAGAAATAAAATAAAATTTCGTCAAGTAGTCACAAATAGCAACTTTAGTTACAAGTGTTTCGGGCGCATACAGCGGTTTATGCCACACACGCCAGGCAGCTTTGTGTGCCGCCACCCAATGCCGTTTCTTTGACAGTATTTTTACTACAGATTTTTTTTCCTTCCTGCTTTCTTTTTTGCAACACAAAAATTTTTTCTCACACTTTGCCAAGCGTTAAGCGTTTATATGGGCACACAATACTGTTAGCGTCTCACCGAGACTCGCACTCAGACTCCGTTATTTTTTCGGACTCCGACGCCGTTACCGTTACCCGTCACTTTTGCCATTACACTACCAAAACCAAAGTAAGTGTTCCGCATTGTGCCGTGTGTTCCTCCTTTTGAGCGGCGCCGAGGCGCTGCCAACTCTACTCCACTGCCGTTAATAAAATATATATTTTTCCTTATAACAACACACACACACACAGACACACAAGCGCACACTTACACGTATACTAATACTAACACAATGTTAAGTGCGCTAACACACACTTGCAAGACTGGCGAGTAAAAAATATGGCGTCTGCTCGACAACCTATGGAAAATCCGTTTGTGGCACACGCTCTTAACGCTTCAGCTTAGCTTTTCTGTTGCTACAGCCAGCTGCTGGCTGTTGGCCGACACAACACACACTGTCATAGAAAATATGGGCAACACAACGTCGTCACAAGCGCCAGTCGGCTGTGTAGAGTAGTCGGCACTCACTTACGCGCAACCGATGAGGACGAGTTTGGCGGCGACGTCGACGAATTGTCGAGCAACAACCAAGTGACCGCCCAACGCCCACACGTACAACGTTACACTTACACACGAACACACACACATATACAATCAGCCGCTGCTGACTGCGTAAATGTTTAGTACGGCGTGTGGCACGTTGTTGTTATTGCTGTTGTTTTGCGTTGTTGCTATAACTGCTGCTAGTAGTTGGCTAATGTTGCTGCAGCCAGCCGTCCCGTTATCCCGAGTGTTGTCATCAAATGCCAATTGAATAATAATTGCGATTGTCGCAGGGTAACGGTAAGTTTGTAACGGTTTCACTGCCTGCCACCAATGGATGGCGCTCACTCTCTTTTATAACACATGCTCTCACATGCTCTCGCACACATTTGACTGGGCGTAGGGCGCAAACGCCTAATGCACTAGTGGGCCGATAGACACATATACACACATACACACATACTAATGCTTAGCTTACAGCCGCTTGCAGCCTAGTTGTAAGCGCGCTCAAACCATGTGGCGTCACCTACAATGCGCCCCATTCTTTGCTGTAAAAGCTCGTCGCTGTTGCCAGCCTTTTGCCGTTAAATTCGTATTTAGTTGGCAGCGCGTCCCCACCTCGTCGCACAACGAACATTTCTGCACGAAGTGTGAAAAACACCAACGATTAATTGTATGTGTGTATGTATGTATGTATGTGTGTAAATATGTATGGATATATATATGTGTGTGTGTGCGCCTCTGTGCAGGTGAGAGCGTGAGCGAAAGTTTCTAGGTTTTGCTACCCATTTACTCAACCCCAAACTGTCTGCGCGCACTTTACACACACATACATACACACACAGTTATATATGTATACCATCGCATATGCATATGGTTGCATGGCATTTGTATGTGTTGCCACCGGGCGATTGCAGCAACAAGGCCAACAATAATGGTCAAAACAATAACAAATGACAGAGAATTTATTTTTGCCCATTTAACAAATCGATAAATAATTTTTAATTGTTTTGTTGCATTAGCATGCACACATACTTACATACATACTTATAGCCATACATGGGTATATGCAAATACCAAGAGTAGCAGTCCTTTCTGCCTGACTTGTTTTGCTTGGTTTTGCGAAAGCCTGTGTTGGTGTTTATTATAAAGAAAATTTATGAAATAAATTTTATCGATGAAAATCGAGTTCCTTATGTGTGATTTCGAAGCATTGTCACGCCTTGACATATATAAAAGTATTTGAGATTTTAAGTGTTAAATGAAGTTAAAAAAAGAAACTTCAGCTGCAACGAAGCTATAATACCCTTCGCATGTGCATTACTTATAGCATAAAGGGTATAGTAAGTTCTTGAACTAGATTTTGTTCCGACAGTTTTTATGGCAGCTATATGCTATAGTGTTTCGATCTCAACAATTTCTTCGGTGATTATACCGTTGCCTTAAATAATAATCCATACAAAATTTCGTAAAGATATCTTGTTAAATAAAAAAATTTTTCATACAAGAACTTGATTCCGATCGTACAGTTTGTACAATAACTATATGCTATAGTAGTCCGATATCGGTGGTTCCGACAAATGAGCAGCTTCTTGTAGAGTGAAGGACGTGTGCGAAATTTCAGATCGACAACTCAAAAACCGAGGGGCTAGTTCGCAAGCACACAGCAGGCAGACGGACGTGGCTAAATCGACTCAGCTCGTCACGTTAATCACTTGTTTATAAAGACACTTTTTAGACTTGTGGTTTTCAAGAACAAAGAAAGCGCATTTAATTTAAAGTTATGCCCAAGAATTTAGCTTTATTATAAAGCTGAGGGCTTGCCATTATGTTTTAAAAATAATTTCGTGCAAGTGAACAGCGCAACTCGCTCGAATAAATTCACTTACAGTGTCTGAATCGTCTCAGGCTTATCTGGGAGAACCAACGACTTCACATAACAACACAAATAATTGTTCAGCTCGCATCATCTTGATGACCACGCCACAGGTCCATGACGTGAGATAATGCGCTCACCAAATGCTCCTTCAATAACTTGATTCTTTCGTTGGCTGTATGGCATGTAGCGCCGCGCTGTTAGAACCAAAGATCGTGCACATCAACACCCTCCAATTCAGGCACGAAAAATTTATTCACAGAGCATATAATGATTCATTAACCACTACTGGCAAATATGCCCTTAGCATGATTTATTTGTATCCCTCATAGTCAGTAGCTTATAAGGCGCTTGATTTCAAGTTGCATTCAGAGCAGAGTGCTTCGACCTTGCTGCAGGAAGCCTAGAAAAAGTTCAAATCTATAGACCTATAAAATGCACTGTGCAGCTGTTCCCAACAGTGATTAAATATAGTTAACTGATATTGCGCCATCTATGAGCGATGTGTCAAACAAGGCACAACTTTCCTAATAAATAGCGATGTCTCACAACTATTAGTAAGAAAATTCAGTGCCGAATATTTTAATGTATTTGACTAGCGCCATCTAGGCAATAGATGCGTTGTGTGATGCCATGTTATACATGTAGTTAGTGAGCGCGACGTCTAACGGCGGTTAGTTGATATATCTGTTCTGCCGAAAACAGTGTTGGAAATTGTTCAAATTCCCACACTTTTTATATTCTCAACAGGGTATACTAAGAACATAATAGTAAACGTAGGACACCCTATTAAGTATAATGTATATAAATGATTAGCGTGCTGAGTCGATTTAGCTGTGGCTGTCCGTCTATCGAGAACTATTCTCTCAATTTTTGTGATACCGTTGATCATTTTCACCCAAGAAGCTGCTCAATTAAGTCGTAACAGCCTATATCGGACCACTAAAGCATAAAGCTGCCATACAATCTGATCCATTAAAATAAAGTCCTTATATTGAAAAGATGGCTTTACAAAATATGGCATGGAATATTATTCAAGGCAGTGCTAAATACAAGCTCAGAACATATGGTTCAGCTCGGATCACTAAAGCATATATACCATATTTTCGTTGACAGCTTGACAAGCTTCGTTGCTTACATTTTTGCTAGGGGTTTGGCTGAGTTTTTCCACATTTCCGAGAATCCGATAAGTGGAGCGTCTCTTGAATCTTTATTCGGCTCTGAATGATAATGAATTTTAAGAGAAAAGATTTCTGAGCACAATAAAAAGTTAATATTATATATTTTTGGCGTGGGGTGACCGCTGTTAAAATTTTTTGTAAGCCGGTCCAAACAGGCTGCGATCACAGGAAGCATTGCGCACCTGTAACTACTACAACATAGCTTTCTTCTAATCCCTAAGATACAATAGCTTGTTACAGAAAATTTTACTTTCAAGTTGAGCTCTAATCAAATGTGTGCAGTCTCGGCTGTCAATGTGAGCTGAGTCGAAGAAAGTTCTTGTTGGCTATATTTAAATTTTGTCTTAACTAATTATATGCAGACACTTTTATTCGAGCATGACTTCAAAAATAGTTGTTCCAAAAAATATGCCTAAAATAACTGTAAACACGGACATCATTGTCAGTTTCGTGGCTGTGTTACAGACTAAATAGTTCACATAAATGAGAAATTGCGCCGCGTTGGGCAATTCGCAAGCCGGATTCGTGCAGGACAACTCGTTGCTGCTAAACTGTTGGGCCTGCACGGAAACATAAAGCGGCGGACAATTCTCGATTTGCGCATAACCCACACAGAGTTCACTCAAGTCCAGCGAGTAACGATTGGTAGCAGCTGTCTGGCCACAGCCCTGTTCCGGCTGATCCGTGCCATCTTTGCGATATGGCAAGGGTATCGTACGCGAACTGCATACAATAAACGAAGCCGGACTTAGCGGTGTGATGCGTAGATAACGTAAACTCGTTGAACCGAAAAAGTAATTCGGCATAATGCGGTAGAAATTGATGGCGCCAGCACGCACATATTGCACCATTTCATTGGAACCTGCCGTATTGGCGTACATAGCGGCGCCACAACGTGGATTAGCTAAGCGTCGTGGAACTATGGGGAAAACGGTGCATTATTACATATTGTAATTAACAAATGCTTGAAGCTTCACCCACTTTCACGTATGCGTTGAACAACCGGTGTGCCTGCCGTCCAAACGCCATACTCCTCGCCCAGTGGAAAGATATCCTCATGAGGATTGCGTACCAGATCTTTGAAACGTATTAACGCACCGCCGCCATAGTAGAGAAAATGTAGGTCGGGCACTGAGTAGTTGAGCTTTTGTAGAAAGTTCAATGCATAGTTCATATCCCAGTCGGGCACGTAAGCTACCGGGCTGGGAATAAGCAGCGCGATCAGCGATTGGCCACCCAAAGAAGAGGTATTGCGATCGATATTCATTACATTTTGCGCTAACTCGGTGGCGGTATTGAGAATCTGTGGTAGGCTGAAACCAGGCTTATCTAAAAGTAAAACAAAAGTTGGACTACGCTGAACTCGGAACTTGGCTACTTACACCATGAGTGCGTTGTGATATTCCAATGCTCGTAGACGTCCATCAGATAATGCGTGGTGTTGACCATTACTGTAGCATCTGCGGCGGAAAGCAGCGTGACAGCGCTGGCGTAGGGATTTATATTGAGTCGCTGTAGTACGAAACTATGAATGACGGATTAGAGAGTTAGTTGGTCGACTATATTTAATGCTAAGCGGTCTTATGCCAAAAATATATATGGAGATTTACAGATTAAAATTCCAACTGCACTTAGATATTATTATAGAGCTCGTCTAAGATCATAGAAAAATGGGTGCAGCGAATGAAGAGGTATTGCAAGATCGGTTATCGTCATATTCAGCGGTCGTGACATCTTTATTATTAAAGAGCTAGTCTAAGATCATAGAAACATGGGTGCAGCGAATGAAGAGTTATTGCAAGATCGGTTATCGTCATATTCAGCGGTCGTGACATCTTTATTATTAAAGAGCTAGTCTAAGATCATAGAAACATGGGTGCAGCGAATGAAGAGGTATTGCAAGATCGGTTATCGTCATATTCAGCGGTCGTGACATCTTTATTATTA